ATCCTTTTAGCACCGCATGATATCTTCTAGTGATATTTTTAGTACCTACTTTTGGAAAACATCCTCTTTCCCTAAAGCAACTATTTTTTTTAAGTTTATCTCAGGCGATTAAAAAAAAAAACAATATTAATTTATTTTATTTTTATTATTGCAAAATTACATTTATTCGTTATCTTATGAATTGTTCAAACTTCTCTCCATTACAATTTAAACATGTCAATTTTATTTCTATTATTGGATATTTTAAATAACCATTAAGTGATAGGTACGGGTTTTCTAAATCATTTTATATCTGTTCTTATCTGAATATTAGGTAATTTAAAAACGATCAAATGACTGTTTTTATTTCAAATAGGCCAGTGCAACTACTATTGTTTCGTATTTGCTTTACAGTCATATTTTACGAATTCACGCGTGTTTATTAAACGATAGTGAAATTACAATAAATAATTTCATAATTGAAATAGCTTGTTACTTAAACAAAATATGAATAATTTAGAAAAAGTTGATATGCTTTTTGTTTACTGGGAATGTGAAAAAAATTCACGTCTGGCTGCACGTGCTTATGCTGAACGTTACCCAAGTATGTATTTATTATTTATTAGTACTTTTAATAATTTTTCGTGTTGGTCAAAATAATAAAACAATTTTTCGTTTTTCTAAATTCAGATAGGCAACACCCATTATACAGTTATTTCCATAAGTTAGAAAGGAATTTAAGAAATACTGGTTCTTTTTCTAACACTAGAGTTATAGCCAACCAACAACCTATACAAGTTAATGCATTGAGGGAAGATATTGAGCTTCGAGTGCTGGCGTACGTAAGAGCAAATCCCAGAGTTAGTACGCGTCATGTCGGCTTTGAAATAGGCATTTCTTATAATACCGTTCATAAAATTTTAAAAAAACATAAATTTCATCCATATAGGCCTGATTTAGTTCAACATTTACGGAAAGGTGATGCTGAGCGTAGAATTATGTTTATTTCTTGGTTGGTAACTAGATGCTAATCGAAGAAGTCAAAAAATATGTGTTCTTATTTGATACATCTCATTTGTATTACAAAAATATTGTAAAAAAGCCGAAGCATGGAATAAGATATCGGAAGAACTGGGAATAACTAGTAAATGTAGTTTTTGTTAACTAAGTAAAATATAATAGAATATACCTCTATATTTTATATTCGATGTATTTATGGTAATTTGTAAGTAATAGGTATTCACTAATTATTTATTGTATTTTCATCTACTTGTAGTAATACGTACACAAAATAAATTAATCAATTTTGTAGTATGTTCGTATAGGATATATACTAGGTAGTAGGTATTATATATTGCCAAGTTCAATTAGGTACTTCCAATTATATTAAAATATTTTTATTTTTATTTGCTTTGAAAAACAAGATATTTTGGTATTTACTTTTATTACATGCTAATGATAAAAACAGTATACATATTCTTAAGACAAATTTATTAATAGTTTATCTAACATAATATTACCGAACAACAGTGTATGTCCGATAAAGAAACAAATATAGAACACTATACTAAAATACTAAATAATAATATATTATAGTTATAATATTTAAAAGCATAGTTTGCATTTCATTTATTAAAATAACTCGCAAACTGTTCTCAAATTTCAAATGCAGCCTTATTTGACCTTCGATTAGTCGACCTCATGTCCGATAAAGCTCGAATAGTTTCAGTTTGCTCCTCACATTCAATTTCATTATTATTTTTGATCATAATGTAGTTATGTAGGCAGCATGCAGCTTTCACAATGTATTCTGTAGTTTTAACATCCGTTTCTATTGATCTTAGGAATACTCATCACTTCATAGCTAAGATATCAAATGCATTTTCATCCACACGATGTGCTCTGCTTAGTCGTATATTGAACTTTTTCTTTTTTATATCACTTATTATTGTGGTTTAGGGTAAGGTTTTATTAAATAAGTTTGGAGAGCAAAACTTTCGTCACCAATGAATACATGGGGAACTGGATTATCGGTACCTGGTAGTGGCTTCGAAGGTAGAATAGTTTTTCCATTAATGTACTGGTGAAAGAAAGAAGAATTTTCAAAAATAGCGCTGTTGCTATGAAGCCCATAGCTGCCAATATTAACTGCCATAAACTTGTAATACAGGTCTACTATCACAAAGAGGAGGATGGAAAAAAAAATTTATAGCAAAAATAACTTGATCCATTATTACTAGGACATTTTAATTTAATGTGCTTTCCATCAATGCTTACTAGGCAGTTTCTGGCAATCCCCAAATTTCTGGAAATCCGACCATAACTTTTTTCCATATCTGTTCAGTAGGTGTAGGTAAATAAGTAAGCTGTAGACTGTTCCAAATTTCTTGACAGACTTCTTTTACAATTTTTGAAACAGTTGATCGTCCCGCTCGAAAAGAAAAAGCAATAGTTTGGTGGCTGTCACCGGTAGCCAAATATCTAAAAAATTAATTAAGATTCATAAAATACTTTTTTAGAAAACGATAAAATTATTTACATATAATTTAATATAATACACTAGATAAATACATTAAACATTATTTTTCAATAATCATAAATTATTGTAATTGTTTATAATATTTTAAAACTTTTGAAAACCATATGAAATATAAATAAAAATAGACCATATAATATATTCACAATATTGTACCTTTCTAAGTTAAAAGACGTAACAATACAACTACACAAACTATGTAGTCTAATTTTTTTCAAGCCTTGAATTATGAAGCAACCTTGTATTGTTTTAATATTTTTCAAGTGAATTGGCCAAAACTAAATAGGAAATTTACGTGATTCTTATATGAGATTCAAAAAAAGTGTTAAAGGAGAAACAGGGCAAGCTAAGAAATACCATAAATGGCCATGGAGTAGCCAAATGGAATTTTTGGATGACACTCTCAAATTTCGTCCTCCAAACAATAATATATCTGATATGTCAATAGGATCACCTTCTGGACTAGAAACACCACCAGAGTTCAGAAATACAAGAAAGTATTTTTTCTCCAAGTACCAAACAAATGCCACCCCTTTTACCCAAACAGAAAAAAACTGAATTCACATCATGAAATTAATGACGTTGAAAAAGTTATTGATTATTTGCAAACAAAAAAAAATAATACAACTTGACGGTACTGATCATTTGTTTTTTAAGTTACACGGACACTTTTAAAAAATTTCACCCTCAAATACAAGCTGAACTTAAAGTAGTTTAATAAATTTATAAGGTTTAATTAATTAGTTTTTATTATTTTATCTATTTTATAATAAATGTATTAATATTTACCACAAACAAATAGCTAATCTTTTTCTTGAGCTGATTGGTTTTCTGCAGTTTATTTTGAAATATTTACTTTTACTAGATCATGTAATTCCTCGAAACATTCTCGTGACATGCGAAAACATTGAAAAAAACGATCTTCATTTGATTGGAGTTCAATACAAAGCCGATGGTATTCGCCAAATGTTTCTTTTTTCGTGTTTATTTCATGCACCAAACGTCGTTTTTTTTTTTTTTAAAGGATAAGTAGAAGAAGAAGTTACTCTTTGTCAGAACTTGACACATTGAATAATATAATTATAATGTAATGACAAAAACACTGAAAAATATCATATATTTGTAATTATAATATGACTACTTACTTTTACGTGTGCAACCGTACCGATTAGACGTGCTTCCAAGTGTTGTTCCCTTATCTAATCGCTGCAAATTCATTACGCAACTCTACGCCGACGTCTACCGCAGGTAATATAATGTTTTATCATATTACGATATATATTAAAATATAATTACCCCGATAACCGTACATCCGTACAAAAGTGAACTAAGTATTATGTCTGAATCAAATCTTATTCAATCACCCGACAAAAAAAATATGGCCGATCATAATAAACCGTCAACCAACACTCAATCCATACTTACACAAAGTAAAAATACTCCAAGCTTCGCATCAAAAGTAGCCTCCGAACAACTACCAAAAAGAGAATTAGCCATAGTATTCAACACTATCGAAAATATACCATAAATTTTATACCTTATCGCTCTTTCCAAATTAATTTCACCGAAAGACATTACATATGCTTCCCGGGTATCTAATGGTCGTTTCTGTGTATATCTCTCAAACAAAAATACAATCGATAATCTTCTAGCCAACCACCAAAACATTACCGTCAATAACCAAATTATCAATATTCGCCGTCTAATTAACCCAGCAAAAAAATTAATACTATCTAATGCAGTGTTTCTTAACCTGGGTTCCGTGAAGATCACTTGAGGGTTCCGCGAAAGTGCTGTGCTGTGTTTTTATCAAAATATTAAAAATAGAAAAAAGCTAGAATTCTAGAGGCAGCTAGTGGGAAAACCCGTTAGACGTGCACATATATTGTATGACCGTGTTCTCACCAAAAGCAACTGATGACGGCAGCGCAACCGCGACATGTATTATTAAATTGACGTGTTCTCACAGGTCGCAACAGGACTGGAAAACAACGCAACTGTTTGAAAACTATTTTTGAGCAACTCGACGTGTCAGTCTCTTTTGTCTAGTTGCTAGTGTGAATAGTTCGATTTTGTTATCGATTTTGTGAATAATTCAATTATTTGATTATTACCTACTCTGGTTTATAATCAATTTCATATTTTGTTAATAATTTATTTAAAATGGAAAATGAACAAGAAGAAAATATGGCATTCGTACAACTTATAGAAAGTCACCCATGTCTTTATGATGTAACATCATCTAATTACACTCGACAAGACATAAAATAAAAAGCATGGAACGACATTTTAAAAAAAATGAACAATTCTAGTAAGTAAAATGTTGTCAAAAAATCAAAAACGTAATTACTAATTAATCTTGTATAAACAATGTACATACAGATACAATATTAAATAGATTTATCATATTATTTATTAAATAAGTAAAATTAAAAGTAATGATAATCACATAACAAATAAGACATATATATTAAATTAAGTTAAATTAAATTATAGTATTCCATTGATATGGAATAGAACCGGCGGGTGTCATAAAATATTCACATAATTTTTCTCTGTTTTGTTGTGCCTCTGATAACGATCTTACTTGTCTCTCGTGATTTTGTTGAGTCTGAACTTGTCGATTTTCTTGTTGTGTGTCAAATATTTTAGAATGAGAAAATATTCCTTGTTTGATACGAATATAATTATGTAGGACACAGGCAGCTTTTATAATATTATTTATAGTTTCTTCCTTGCAACAAATTGGCCCTTCAAATAAACGAAACTTGGATACCAACATACCAAAAGCACACTTGACGCTTTTGCGGCCTCTAGAAAGTCTATAATTAAACACCCTTTTTTTATTATCCAAACTTCGTTTTGGATAAGGTCTCATTAAATATTTAGTGAGAGGGAAAGCTTCATCGGCGACAAAATAAAATGGAAAATTATTTTCATTATTACTTGAAGGTAAAGGTCTAGGAGGAGGTAATTGTAATATGTCTAAATTTAAAGCACGTCCAAGATTTGAAGTTCGAAATACAGCACCATCACTATTTCTTCCAACTTCACCAACATCTATCGTCGTAAATAATCCATCGGCATCGACACAAGCCATGAGCACAATAAAAATATACCCTTTATAATTGAAATATGTTGATCCTGTGTTCGGTAAACATTTTATTCGAAAATGTTTACCGTCAATAGTGCCCACACAATTCGGGATATTCCATAGCTCAAAAAATCTGTCAGAAATTTGTAACCATTTTTCTTGTAATGGCGAATCCAAATACTTTGGTTGTAGTACATTCCAAATATTTTCAGTTGTGTTTGAAATAATGGTACTAATTGTTGTAAGTCCTCTCATAAAATGATATGTCATAGCTCTATAACTTTCGCCTGTTGCCATAAACCTAAAAAAAGTTTAATATATTATTGATAAACAATTTTTTTTTTTAAAATATAATTTAAATAAAAAATCTAAAATAAATAAAAAAAGTAATATGATAAATAGTTGTAATATGAATTAAGAATATTGTAACAGAATTTGGAGCACAAATATTCACATTGTGCGTCCAACTTCACGGACCTAATGTATTGTATAAGTATTTAAATTGTAAAGGTCTTATCAATTTATTTTTTAAATGATTTTAGTTCAAACATGTAAAGAACGATGGAAAAACATAAGAACAGTATTTCTACATCATTTACGACAAAAAGTACCAAGTAGATCATCGGGTGGTCTTAAAAAAAAATATTATTTAGAAGATGCCATGCAATTTATAATTCCATTTGTTAAAAGTGGCAAGAAAAAACAAGGAAATATATCGATATCATCGGAATTGGAAAAGGACACTAACATGGAAGATATCGAAGAGGAATCAAATGGTGAAATAATAGAATCTGTTTAAGTACCAGGATCATCTGAATTATTGAGCAGTCATCGAGATATAGCAGACGATCACGATAAAATAGAACATAGCGGAAAAAGTATTAAAGTAAATAGTATAATAAGTGATGTTGATAATTGTTTCATGGAATACTTTGAAAAAAAAAAGAAAAAAATGTCAACCACACCAGAATGTGCAGATCAAAAATTTTTGTTGAGCTTACTACCGGATATACAACAAATGAACCCCATACAAAAAAGACAATTCAAAAGGAAAGTTTTGGATGTTATCGGTTGTGTTTTAGAGGATCAAGGTTCATTAAATTCATCTAGTAATTTATGTTCCTCTAGTTATTCTACATTATTGACAGTTGGACATTTGGAAACAAAACACCAGCAGTATAAGAGTAAGTCAATCGATTTTTCTAAAAGAAAAGAAAGTGAATTGAAATCTCAGATGACACTAATTCGAAATACGGGAACTGAAAATGAGTTAGCCCTTAAAGCGTCATTTTTGATATCACTTCGCATTGCAAAATCAAAAAAAAATTTTACCATAGGAGAAGACTTAATTATGCCTTGTATGGTCGATGCCAACCTCACACTTTTTGGAGATAAAGCTGCTAAAAAAATAAAAACAATACCTCTTTCTAATGATACAGTTTCAAATCGCATAACTATGATGAGCGATGATGTTCATCAGCAACTTATAAGAAAAATAAAAAGGTCAAAACTCTATGCTCTTCAATTAGATGAGTCGACTGACATTACTGATAAAGCACTGATACTTATTTATATTCGGTATGTGGACTGGGACGAAAAAGAAATCAAAAAAGAATTCTTGAACTGCTTAGAACTGAAGAAACATACAACTGGCGCTGAAATTTTTTCTGCATTGTCTGATTGTTTCTTAAGTACAGATTTAAAGATGTCAGACTGTATCTCAATTTGTACTGATGGCGCGGCTAATATGACTGGTAGGCATGCAGGACTAGTCGCAAAAATGGAACAAGTAGCTCCAAATATTCAAAGCACACATTGTTTGATACACCGAGAAATGTTAGCAAGTAGAAGAATGAGTGCCGAGTTTAATCAAGTACTAACAACAGCTGTCAAAACAGTAAATTTTATTAAGTCCAGCTCTCTTAATTCACGACTGTTTGCAATGTTGTGTGATGAAATGGAATCCACACATAAAACGCTATTATTGCATGCGGAAGTTCGCTGGCTTTCGAGAGGTCGGATATTAAAAAGACTGTGTGAACTTAGAGAAGAAATAATAATACTTTTATCAAGCAAAAATTGTGACCTGGTTCAGTACTTCAAAGACATAGATTGGAACATGAAATTATGTTATCTTGCAGACATATTTCAACTTTTGAATGAGCTAAACCTGTTTCTTCAAGGAACACAGAAAACCATGTTTCACAGTTACAGTAAAATAGAAGGGCAACAAAAAAAAAAAATTTAAGCTGTGGATCACAAGAATTGAAAAAAACTGTTTTGAAATGTTCAGCACCTTAATGGAGTTCATGAGTGGGGTGAACGAGAATAATGAAGATTACAGTATTACTCAACTTAAACTGATTATTGTTAATCATTTGAATATGTTGTCTCTTAAATTTGAAGAGTATTTCCCTTCAAATCAAGACCCAAGAGATGGTTTCTTATAGATTTTGAATCCATTCAGTGACAATAGCTCAACAAATACTCTACGAATGAAGAGGATATGTTGGCAGATCGTTCCTCGAACATCACGTTGAAAAACTTAAAAAACAATTCATCTTTAGATAAATTTTGGATAGAAGTTCACAGCGAATATGAGGTATTAAGTGAAAAGGCGTTAGGAGTCCTACTTCCTTTTCCTTCAACATACTTATGTGAAAGTGGATTCTCAGCAGTCACTGCAACCAAGACTAAATATCAAAATAGATTGAATGTGACGCCGACACTAAGACTTTTATTAACAAACCTTACTTCAGATATTGATAACATATGCAGTCATATTCAAGCGCAATCATCCCATTAATATAAATTTAATCTAATCAAAATATATAATGTTACTTCTCAATATAATCTAAAATCTAAATTCTAAATAAATAATTTAATTGTATTTTGCTATTGTAGTGGGCCGTTCTGCAAGAGGACGGCGCAATACACCGTTGATGAATAAATATTTGAACGGTTCACGTCTGTGATGTAGAGTCGTTGGAAGGTGTTTAAATGACAAAACATGATGGTTTAAAGTTATACAGATATGTATAATAATGAATAAAATAAAATATATATAATATGTGGTTAATACAAATAAAATAGTAATTTATAATTGAAAGTGTGAGGACAGAGTAATTAAGCTCTGCCCGAGAATAATAAAGATTGACTCTCAGAGCTGGCGGCGATGTAAAGCGCGCGGGCTTCACGACCAGATGAGCGTCGGTGCAGTAAGCGGAGTAATTAGTTAACACTAGTTTAATTCATTCTACTATTCTAAATTTATGGGTAAATGGATACCGTATTTATAGGCAGCCATTTAGGATAAGAGTAAGGTCGATGGGGATTCTGTCGGATATGAACAAGGAAGCTTGTTTCTGTGATATTGAAAATAGGCTCTGTTCCGTGGGAACTACATATCAATACGAGTAAGTATTGATATTGGTTTCCGTTTTGGTTTTGCCACATTAGTATCAATACATGATATAATGTTAGCGGATGTTAGCTACCCGGTGGTTTACTACATGCCTCCCCTGTAAGAAAGAAACCCTATGGTTTCTTTTCACTAATATAATCTCAAAGTCGGGTAAACCATGGCAGTAGGTACCTGTGGTGCGGTTTCTTTTGAAGTTGTGGTAGTAGTAGCTGTTATGTCTTCCAATCTTATAGATTCCATTTCTTCTTGTTGAACCCTTCTTCTTGAGTTTGTTCGTTGTAAGATTTTCGTTCTTCTTTTTGTGAATTAAAATGGTGCGAAATAACAATAATCATGATTCAAATTATTATTATGTTCGTAGAATATAATAAATAATTATGTATAGTTAAATTATTTTTAGTGATGAAGTGTCTTTAAATTGTTCCTTAATATTTGATCTTGGTACGAAATTTTCGTATCCATTGTGATCTTCGATTTTTCCAGGTATTAGTAAATCTCTGTTAGCGTATCCTTTCATATTTCGTTAAGAGTTATTATACCAACTCCTTCTAAAATATGTGTACTTGATTCTTTATCATCTTCGCAGTTGATAATTATATTTTTACTAGTGGTAGCATATAACCACTTATTCTGATATTTAAGTTTATGAAAAATACTAGTTCTTAGTTGAAATTGTCGTATTTCGTAGTTGTTAGGTACTTCTCTTGGTTCTTGTAGTAATTGGACTTCACAAATAGGACGTAGGTTTCTAGGATGTAATGTTTGGATTTCTGGACACAAAAGGAAATCTCTAGCATACTTACATTTAGCATAATGGGAATTATTATAAGTAGTATAACGTTCTTTAGTTTTGCTTATGGCTATAAAATTATAACTAGGTTTGACATACATACAATTCATATTTTTTTTACATATAGGTTTAGGTATTAAATTATATAATATAAAATTATCCTTATGTACTAAATGTATTGTTATTACAAATACCAAGTTATCATTTGAATAATATACTACAATATCTGATAGTTTCAAAATGTCATATACCGTGTCCAAGGTAGGGATATAAGGTAGGTCCCTATCTTCTGGTAAAGATAATCTAATGTCTTGAAATTGGTCAAGTAATTCTTGTGGTCCTATCAAGTAAGGGTGAAGTTGACCTACTTTTGCATTTTCTAAAATAGTAAATAAGGTATCTATTTCGTTTAAATATTGAGTAATGATTAGACTCATGGATGTATAGAATTTAAAAAGAAAATTATATTGCTCTTGTTCGATGGTTCCTAAAGTTTTATTATTACGTTCCTCATACGTATCTTTAATTATATATTCTTTTTCTGTTTTAAGTTCGATAGTTTTCAATTGTTCGTTATTGCGTTTTTCTTGAGTTTTTCTATTTTTAAAAAAATGTTGTATACCGGAATTAAATTTTTGAATACAATTAACGTTACATAATCCGTAAATAGTTCGCGCGATTTTCCCTATTAAAGAAAAATTAATATTTCTACGTTTTCTTTTTGAACTAATGTCTGTATTATGTCCTAGTGAGAATAAAAATAGGTCCCTTTTTCTTTGGGCTTGCTCTAAAATTTCAATAACTGATGTGCGTAAACTTAAACATAGTTCGTAAGTAGGAGTACCTATTAATTCGTTACATGATAGATTTGTTCTTGACCAATAATTAGTTAATTAATTAATAATCTCTCCATACCTCCCATGGGAAGTCAAGAACGACTATTTTAATAGCGATCATTGGCCTATATTAATTAACGTACATCATAGAAACAGCCCTCAGACCCCCTACAACACAAATAAATGGAACCTAAGAAATTCAAACTGAACGCTCTATTCAGACATAATAGACAAAACTATGTCAGAAAACCAAATCCTTAAGAACGAATTAAATACAGATGACATTGATATAATTGTAGAACAATTCACTTCAATCATAACTGAAGCAGCCCATAAATCCATTGGAAAACAATAATACACCCCAAAAAATCTTCCATCCCTTGGTGGTCCAAAGAATGTAATAATGCTATAAAAAATTATAAAAAAACAGTCAACAGATATAAAAAAACCAAAACAATCCCTGACCACATAAATTAAAAAAAAAGCCAAATCCTTATCAAGAAGAATTATAAAACATCAAAAAACTGAATCTTGGAAAAAACTTATAAATGATCTAACCCCCAAAACACCAATTAAAGAAGCATGGAAAAAATACGATTAATAGAAGGCATACAATTCAATGATACCCCCCAAACACTAACAAAAGGAGACAAAACATATTACTTCTCCCTAGGGATGGGTTTTTGACCGGTCAAAATCTTTTAATGACAATTGACCAGATTTTGACTCGTCAAAATTGTCAAAATCGGTCAAAATCTTTTTTTTTCCTGTCCTTAATTCAAATGTTGTATTTAAATGGAAAAAATTTATTAAATGTTAAGACCATGAAATAGTAACAAAAAACATTTTTACACCTATTTAATAATGAATACATACAATTTTGTTAACAAATAAATGAAATAATAAATATCAGTCTTTACTTTTTAGTTTTTATTAATAATGCATAAACTTAAAATAAAATAACAACTTAGTTGAAGAAAAATAAGTTACATTTTTCAATAGTAATTAGTAAAAATAAACAAATTTAAATAACAACCATATTTTAAAAATCACATAAATAATAAATATAGTAGTAAGTTAATAAACAAAAAAAAAAATATTAACATCTTTGAATAAATAAACATAAATTTCATCTTTCAATAGGAATTACTAATTAATAACAGTATAAAATACATATATATAAACTTTAAATTTAAAAACAAGTAAGTCATGGTCATCTACAATCTACATAATTACATTAAGTTAAAAAAACTTAATTACTATCAATTTGCACATTGTATCTATGGTCCTCTGTATCTATTTCCATATTTTTCAGCAATCTAAGGTTATGGTAAACAGATGCTAATTTTCCAGTTGTAGATGTTTTAAGTTTATTACGGTTTTTTGAATGGATATTTCCCCAAACAGACCAATTACGTTCAGCACACGCTGTAGAACTTGGTAATGTTAGCAGTACTTCAGCAACAACAGCTAGAACACTTTTGTTTTTAAAATTACCTTTCCACCAATTTGCTGCTGTAATAGAGTTATTTTTTATAGAGTTAATTGCTGTCCATGATGAACGACTTTGAAAAGGACCACTTCTAGCTTTGAAATTAATAATGTCTGATATAATACTACTTTCTTGTTCACTATTAAGCTCCATGTCTACATTATTTAAATGTTTCCAGATCAACTTAATTAAATCAATAGCATTGTCTTCTTTTTCAGATTTTAAATTCTCTCCTTGGTGTCTTGGATCAAGTAAATAGCATGCATGATGTGTAGGTGTAATGACCTTATTTATACGGTGCTCAATTAATTCGACTATGGATTTTTCATTTTGACTTAGACTTAAAGAAGATGAATTATTTTCCTCAACATGTTTTTTTACTTTCATAAACTCATCATAAACTTCTGAAAATTCACAAGAATCAGACTCCATTTTGGTAATTGAATTGGAGACTGGTGAAAACAAATTTATAAAATGTTGATTTTTTAACCAAAATACTTCTTCATCCAGAATCCATTTTACTATTTGCTTAAACAAATTTTGTTGATTTGATGGTATAGAAGAGGCAATTTCTTCATCAACAACACTTGATTTAAGAGCTTTTTTATTTATCTGTAGCTGCTGAATTGATTTAATACTAGAAGCCCAACGTGTAGCTACAGATGTTGATAGAGTTGAAGTAATCCCATACTGTTCGCGATACTTACTAAAAATATGAGCAGCGACATGATGGTTTTTAAAAAACTGTACTATTTTCTTAACTTGTATTAAATGAGTAGCATATTTTTTTTTGTTTTTCAACATCCATGGCAAAAAATTGCATAGAATGAGAGGCACAACTGTATGTTTGATATGAGGATATTTGTCCTTAACAATTGTCCATGCAGCCCTCATATTTGCTGCGTTATCAGTAGTTATTCCATAAACTTTTTCTGGTCCAATTTCTTCAATGACAGTACAAAGTTCAATTGCAATATAGTCACTGGTGTGTCTATTTTCTTCACATGCTACAAATTTGTAGAACAAAGGTTGAGGTGTAGTAACCATATTGTTTATGATACCTTAATTTCTTTGATTGCTCCACCCATCAGAAACTATTGCAATACATTTTGCGTTTTTAATGCATGGTGATATATGATTACTGGTTTAAGTACAAGTATTATCCAAAAGTTTTCCAGCCAACTGCTTACGACTAGGTAATTTAAATGTGGGCCTTAATGCATCAAAAAAAACTTTTTAAATAAGGACTATCAACAATTTGAAATGGAATATTACTGGCATAAACTGCCTTTGCAAATAAATAAGTTAAATTGGTTTGTTCATTCTGATTCATACGGTCGATATAAGTTGATACCGAACTTTGTTTCATTTTATTTAATTTGTGTTCTTCGTACAATTCTTTTTCAATTAAACTACTTGAGTTATTGTTATTTGTTTTCTTACTTTTATTTACTTGCATAGAAACATCATCTAAAAAACAAAACATAAAAAAAATAAAAAAGTTACTAATAAAACAATGAAACCAAAAAGAAGAACATTAAAAAAAAATTGAGAAAATGTTATGGGTTGTAGCTATAAGAAATTAGAAACTCACCTTCATAATCTGCAAATAAAATAAACATACCTAAAGTATCATTTTCTACTAAACTAGACAACAAATCATCATCTATAGCTTTTGTTACACTGACTTCTTTGTAACTGGGAAGTTTTTTTTTCATTTTATTATATTCCTCTGTAGCTTTCATGTTTATAATAAGTTGGTTTTTAACATATTGTGGAGCTTTCTTGCAACCACTTAAAATGTGTTTAACTTGTCGGTCGACATGCGTAACATACTCTGCAGCACAATAGCGACAAATTCCTAGTTAAAAAAATACCAGTAGTACTTAATAGTTAATATAAATAGAAAAAATAAAATAAATGTACACTTACCTTTTAATGTTTTTTCTACTTCCACTTTATTAAAAAAATTCCAAACAAAATGTTGAGGTTTTGTAGATTTTTTAGCAGACATTTTATATTTTTATATGTTACTTAATACTTTAATAATAAAGTAAGTAATACTTTATTTGTGTACTGTAATACTAATAAAGTAAGACAGCTTGTTATGAGAAAAATTTAGATTTGAATCGTTAACTGACGTTTCACGTTAACAAATATCAAAATCTTGAGGGATAATAAAATAATTATAATATGATAACACCATGGACGATAATTTTGATAACTTATTACAGAAATATCAGCGTGACCAACATAACGTTTATTAGTACAAAATTACAATATTGGACAGCAGATTTGTCTAAAAACGATGTTTACTATAACCATGGAAGTTTTTTTTTTATTTTGACTAGATTTTGACCGGTCAAAATCTTTGTGGTCAATTGACTACATTCTGACCGGTCAATTGACTGGTCAATTGACATTGTGCCATCCTTGCTTCTCCCTAAAAAAAGCTGAAGCTCTTGTTGAAATCTTTGAAAAAAACAGCAGTGATGAAAATTATTCCCCTGAATTTAGAAACTCAACTTCAAAAAATAAAACATATAATCCAATTACATTTTCAAAGGATGAAAACCATTCAATAAACATACCAATCAATGTACAGGAACTCTATGATGCACTTTTTAAATGCAATTCAAGAAACAGCACAGGCCATGATGAAATACCGTATTTATTTATTAAACAACTCCCGATCAGCGCCATCTCTATACTACTAAAAATCTTCAACTTAATATAGGAGAAGAGGACTTTCCCTAATTCGTGGAAAATGGCCATTATTATACCAATACTTAAACCTAACAAAGATCGACATGAAGTTACATCTTACCGACCAATATCTTTAATATGCACCCCAAGCAAATTGCTGGAAAAAATTGTTAGCAAAAGATTTTATTGGACTTTAAAACAAACAAATTTTATCAGCAACCAACAATTTGGTTTCCAAAGGAATAAGTCCGCCATAGATGCTTTAACTCTAATGACAGAAGACATATACTCAGCCTTCAACATCAAACAACACGTACTATTAACTTCACTTGACGTTGAAAAAGCATACGATATGGTTTGGCGCCATCGAATACTAGATATACTTCAAAAAAATAAAATTAATGGCAATACGAGTACACTCGCCTATATCTCAAATTTTCTATGAAAACGATCCTTCTCGGTAAAATTAAACGAAACCCATTCCCGTAACCATAATTTCCAAATCGGCATACCTCAAGGATCAAGTTTAAGTGTCACCCTCTTTATAATAGCTATTAACGAACTTCCAAGTATTATACCTTCACCACTCAAAACCATTATGTTTACCGACGATAGTACTATATACTGCAAAGGAAGAAATATAAACACATCAATAACAATCATGCAAAACGCCATCCATGAAATCAGCAAATGGGAAAAATCTACGGAGTTCAAATTTGGTCCAGCAAAATCCAAAAGTATCCCATTCTCATACAAAACAAATATAACCCCACATCAAATATACATGAACAATATTCTGATTCCACTCACAAACGACTTAAAAATGTTAGGATTAAACCAAAACAATCAACTAAATTGGTCCAAACACATAAAAATGATAAAAACTAAGACAAAATTAAGACTAAATGTAATTAGGGCCATTTTTAATCGAGCATGGGGTGCTAACAACACCATCATAATAAGAACATATAAAAGCCTAGTACTATCCGTTATCGATTATGGTTCCATAATTTACGAAGCAGCCCCTGAATCAATTTTAAAATCATTAGATCCAATTCACAGCCAAGGCATCCGACTTAGCATTGGCGCCTTTAAAACCAGTCCCGTACCTAGCATCTTATGTGAAGCAAATACACCACCACTCGAAATAAGACGAAACATTCTCACCCATAAATTTGCACTTAAAAGACTAGCCGACAAGAACAATACTATATCACCATACCTTTTTAACACGTCACCACCCTCATTGCACTTAAAAAAAAATCAGCCAATATCTACACGAATTAAAAGATAGCTAGACACAACAAATACACCACTGCCTAAACTACTCTCCCCTGCTCCCTACATATACCCACTTTGGAAAATGAACCTAAACATCAACACCTCAATGATCCAAGAAATCCAAAACATAGAGTCGTCAGAAATCCCCAAACATTTTAATGATATTATACTTAATAATTTCTGTAATCACAAAATTATATACACCGATGGATCAAAATCCAACGTCAAAACAGAACTAGCTATAATTACAGTTGAAGAAACCTTCAAGTTTTCTTTACTAAAGCTTAATTCTATTTTCACCATCAAAGTACTAGCGATCCTGAAAGCCATAGAACTAACCGAACAAAATTGAAAAAATACAAAGTCTTTCTTAATAGCCAGCGATTCCCTTAGTTCTATTCTAGCTATACAAAACAAAGGGACATCAAATGAAGTAATAAAAAACATAAAAGAAAGAACCTCTTCCCTTAGCCCCCGTTCGGTAACCTTCATGTGGATTCCTGCACACAAAAACATACCAGGAAATGAAAAAGCTGATATAGCAGCTAAAGAAGCCACCACCAACACCAATACCCCCAAAAAAGACCTCTCATCTTTCGAGGACAATGCCCGAAACGCCTCAAAAAGTAGTAAAATGATTCACCAATGACTCTGGGACCAGGAACTGAACAACAAGTTATACCAAATAAAACCTTTTATGTTTCCTAACCCGACTCCTCCCTCATGTACGAGAAGACAACAAGTGATATGGACACGGATAAAAATTGAACACCCAAACATCACACACGTCCACTTAATGAGAAGAGAGCCGAGACCAAACTGCGAACTATGCAACAACGCTCCGATCTTCATAACACACCTACTCCTCGAATGTCCTAATCTAACCAAACAAAGAAAAATTTTTCCACATCTAACATTAAGAGATATTTTAAGTATAGACAATTTTAATTATTTAATAACATTTCTTAAAATAACCAATCTATATAATAGAATCTAAATAATTATATATTATTGTTACTTATACCATTAACTACATATCCTTTGTACTATACTGTATTACCTTTATTTAAATATTATGATGATTGAAAATAACTTGTAAATATGTTTTGTTCCCGGCTAATGACTTTAATGTTGAAGCCGTAATAAATTATTTATTTATAAAAAAAAAAAAAAAAATATGACTACAACTGCAGGTGGATTTCGTAACTGTAAAAAATATTGTGTTTATACTAGATCGCTTATGAAACAAACGCATGGTGCGTGGCGTAACCAGATCGCTGACTGCCGCGACAGATTGCGTTCTGTGTTCCCGAGCTTTTATTTATTATTATTTTCGCCATTGTGGCATTTCGTAATTTATTACTAAATAAAGTGAATTCAGTTACCATCACATCTTTATTCTTTATCAATTAACTTATAAATATTACCTAGGTATATGCTACATATGATAGTAAGGACAGCAAAGACATAAAATGTGGTACTTCATTGCAGACTCGTATGCAATATGATTCCCACCGTCCGTTTTTATTTTTTTTTTTGTGATTTGTAATTTAATTAAAACAATATAAATAAATTTTTTGACTCAAAAATGGCATCTAAAAATATTAATGAGTATCTTGAAGAAGAAACGGTTAGTAGTAATTTTGAGGATAGCGGTAGTTCTGATTGAGAACCGTATAAAATACAAGGTAATATTTTGGCATATGATACGGATGACGAAGAAAATAATCATAATATTATTACAAGTAGTTACAACAATATTAAAGTAAACCATAATAATATGAATACAGACATAAGTGTAATTTTTAATGTTGACACCGTCCACCATGTTCAAGTGAGTTTTTCCCTGGATTTATTAATTTATTGCGGTCAATCCATGTACCCGTCCTGTGTCAACCACGTAAGTCCGCTAGCAACCGGAAGGAGTGTGTAAGGCCGTCCAGGTCGCCCAGAACTTCATCTACACAGTTACCACTGGCGTTATCGTTCACCTACCGTAATTTTAAGTGTGCTCTGATCGTTTAGTTTTAAGTATTGCATCCCATTTTGTATGAACCCTG